AAGTTTGAATGACCCTAGTCAAGAGTCTAGTGATCCTAGGATGAATTTTGGCAAGACTAATCTTCCTTCTTTCCTCAAGGACTTTCAAGCGAGCAGATCTGGCAGTTTGTTCCATTTCTTGTTCACAACTACGAGAATAAAGAGAACAGGAAATAGAATAGCTGAGGACACTTCTGATTTTTTTTTCTCTCCATGTGACCCCAAATAGCCAAGGTTTTTATTCTCAAGGAAAATATAAATTTGATGGTTGAACACCATGTAAAGTTCCACTAAAAACCTTGTAATTTGAAATAACAAAGCCAAAGACCTCCATTAAAATAAAATTTAAAAATCTTTATTCCTAACAGCATGTCCTCACATACTATTACAAGTGAGTAGAGGATTAAAATCTAGGTGCAAACTAGGTGCAGATAAAATTCACTTTTCACACATCTCCCCACCAGGACAGTTTAAGAGACCAAGCAAAGTTTGGGGGGAGCTAAAACCAGGAAAGCAGAGGGGGCAAACCTGGAGCTCAGAAGTGGGGAGAACTTTTTAACACCTAAAATAAATTCTAGGAAACTTTGCAAAGACTTCGGTTTTAATGAGTAGTACCCCACTCCCGAACAGAGTTGACTTTGTTCACTGAGGCCTACAGCATGAATGATATGCCTCTTATAGAAGTCTTTGCCTTCTGTACTGATCTCCTTTATCCTCCAATTCAGTCAGAGCCCAAGGGAAATGGCAGCATCAACAAGAGACTCCCATCCATTGTGGAAGATGAGGAAGAGGAAGAGGAGGGGGAGGAAGAGGAGACAGCCTCCCTCTCTCCCATCTACACAAGGGGATCCTCCTCTTCACGCAGCAAGAAGATTGGAAGCAATAAAAGCTATCTAGGCCTAAGCTTAAAGCAGCTGGCCTCAGGAACTGTGCCATTTCATTCACCTATAAGAGTCTCCAGTTCAAATTCCCCCAAATCCAAGCAAGAGACTGACCCCCTTAACCATGGTAAAAGGAAAGAGAAGAACTTGAAATTGCAGCTTTCCCCTTTGAATAGTGCTGGACCCCCAGACCTCAGTCCAAGGTAAGAGTTCATATCATATAACTCTTCTCCCTGCAAAAGTGGCTGCCTTTAATAAAGATTAGTAGATTACTCAGCCATTGGGGCCTTTCTACTACATAGAAATTCTTAAGCATCCCTGAGCTTTGTGTGTGATTTTTTTGAAGTGTAAGCACAGACATGTGTATGGTGTGAGAAGAACTAGTTTTAGGAATATTCTCAAAAGGACCCATTGAATGGTCAGCCTTCCTCTCTACTCCCTTTAGATTCATTGAACTCTATGAGGTTAAACGTATGTTTCTACGTTGTGATTTCATGATTATAAATTTATAATGAAAATAAAAGTCCATCAATGTTATCTCCTTAATGCCTGATTTTACCAAAAGTTTCATGGGACAACAAGTTGAAATTATGAAGAAAATGAATTTTTATTTTTCATACTATTTACAAATAAATTACTGTGGATAGCTGGAGCTTAGTTTTATTTCTAGTCTCTTCAGTGGGTAACATAGCTTCATTGTTAGTTAAAAGTAAAATCACTTTGGAATTAACCAAAAGTGATTGAGAAGGTGAAAATTCCTGACTTGGAAAATGTCAAAGGGGGCAGGCTATGATGTATAAAAGGAACAGCAATCATCAAAACTTCCTAAGAGCTGAATAATTCAGAGATGCAAGGAAAAAGTATTGACAGCTTTCGATGTATTTGCTAGGTAATTTCACGTTCACTGTTGCACTTAGTCTTTTTGAACTCTTATAAAGTAGTACGTATTATCTCTACTGTAAAATTGCAAGAACTATAACTCAAAATTTAAATATTTTCCCCAAGATCTCAGAGATACACAGTTTTACAAACTGGGTTCAAATTCTGTTTTACTACTTATAAACAAAGTGACCTTTCTGACATACTATACATTTATTGATTCACTTAAGGAATACATTTTAACCATTAAGAGAGACTATTAAGAAAAATATAAGCAAAGCAGGGTTAGTAAAAAGTAAGTGGACATTAAGTTTTTGGAATTCAGTTGGAGATAGTGATTTAAAAACATTACTCAATTCTTCTCCTTTCTAAATTTTTACTGAAATGAAAAATAGTAAATTTTAAACGGAGAATGTATCAGACCTGGAAAAGAAAGATTTATGTATTATATGAGGCTATATTTATAAAAATAATATACGCTCTGCTATAAAGAGAACAGGTTTTGAGACATTATGCCACAACTTTTAGAGTAATAGTAAATTACAAGTGATTTTTATTTTCTGATTTTAACTCTCGGAGTTTTGCTCAAGTTAGAGTGAAGACATCATCAAATTTATTTTCTGTGATGCTATAATTTATTAAGTTAGAATATTTTCTGCTGGATAGGGTATTGATTTAAGATAGATTGAGATGAAAGAATTTTTGTGCATATTTTTTAATCTGAGTTTTGATTCTGAATCTGACTTTTGAATCTGAGAGTAAATAAAATAATAAACTCCACAATATTGATGTCCAGTGTAAGTAAATGTGAGATAAAATCTTGAACCACATATGTAATTTTAAATTTTTTGTGGCCGAATGTTTAAAAGTGAAAAGAAACCACACAAGTGAGATTATATTTTTAAATATTCTATTGATACAATATATCCCAAATATTATCATTTCAAATGTGTGCTATATAAAAACTATTAACAAAATAATTTACATTCCTTTTTTTAAACTAATTCTTCACACCCAGTGTGCATTTTATACTTAATATAAAGTGTGTACTATAAACACTTCAGTTATTCTAGTCGCATAAGGCAAATGGCTACCATATTAGAACAGACCCACAGTATTTAGAATTTAGAAATTTAGTATAAAAATCCTTTAAGTCTTTTAAAAATACTGGAACTCATGCACATCAATGCATAACATTTCTCTTTATTTTAAATAGAATTGTTGATGGAATTGAAGATGGAAATAGTAGTGAAGAAAGTCAGACTTTTGACTTTGGTTCTGAACGAATCAGGCCAGAGTCCAGAATTTCTCCTCCTCTTGGGGGTAAGGTCTTTATTTACTCTTCTCTGAAGGAGTGATAGTTCTTTTTAACTTTCAATGTTTGGCATTGGCTTTGGGGTAAAATCACTAGTCTCAAATTTCTGCTGCTCAACAGATGGTACCCATGATGTCCTATTATAAATTCAAACTAATTCGCAAAAACATTATTTAGAAGAAATGCTATCTTGGTTGCGCACTGTAGGTACATTGGCATATTAGCCAATTTATCTGGCGAGAGGTTAGGTACTTGCAATTTGTCAGAATGATGTAAGCAAGTTGGAAATGATAGAGAAATTTTAAAAACACCTCTATTGATGATGATTGAATGCAAACATACCCCAACCCAATCCCTCTCTTTCTTTCTTTTTCTTTCTTTCCCTTCCTCCCTTCCTTCCTTCCTTCCTTCCTTTCTTCCTTCTTCTCCCTCCCTCTCTCCTTCCACCTCCCCCTCTATCTTGAGTTCATTGCCCATAGAAAAGAATGGGCAGAATGAATGAATGCCAGAAATGACAAATAAATCTAAAAGAGATTCACTTGTATTTGACACAGAGAGACCAATGAACAATGTTAAATTCACATAGGTAACTCGAAACAATGACCAGCAAACTACCAGATGCAAAAACAGCAATCCCCTGCCTATCTTCTTCTCCTCTTTCCACCAAATTTTAGATGCTTATATTAGGATCTCCTACTAATTAGCAAATCTTTTTATGGACAAAGCCAAGCCCAAGAAAGACATTTAAATATACCTTTTGTAGTGGAGATACCTCTGCTAGAATACCAGTTATTTCATCTCTATTCACAATCCTCAGCACTCATCACCTTCTGGGGGAAAAGAAAGGTCTTCGTAAGACTTCTTGGAGTGGGGCGAAAGATGCAGGAGAAGGAATACAATCTTGATTCACTAATTCGATTTAATTTCATATGTTGTTTATTACTCTGCTTGGGGTAATGGTCAAAGAAATACTATTTATGTGAAACTGATGTACTTATTATGAAAGCCAATGATGGGTCTCAACTACAACGTTTTTGTTTTGCTTTGTTTTGGTTTTTCCCCTTCTTCTTTTTGTTTTTTGGCTTACCTGGAGATAATGCCCAGAACCTCATCATGTTTATCCACCTATTTCTGGTTTCACTACCTCTTCATTTCCCACATTCCTTCTATCTACCCCATAAGCCTTGCCTACACGCATCCATTCAAGCAACACATTTTCTTTATTATATCCCTAAATATCTCTTAATTCTGTGTGGACTTTCTACCCTAACATCACCATCTTTTCTTGGTCACATCCACCTCTTGCCTATATTGCTACCAAGTCTTCTAATCTCACACTGTTTCTCATACAGATTAAAGTTCTTAAAAATACAAATTTATTTATTTATAAGTACTCTACTCTGATGCTTAACACCCTACAATGATTTCCTATTGTCTTTAGTATGAAATCCAAACCTACTATATATATTTTTAAGTGTTTCTTTTCCCTGCAAGATTCTAAGCTCCATGAGAGTCAATTATATTTTCTTTATTCATAGATATCTCCTGTAAAGGCATTTAGGTTTGTTGTATATGACCTGTAATCATTTATTATCTCTGCAAAACAAACTCTTTATTATTTTGCTTCAGACTGCTTTGAGTGATATCTCAAGAGCTCATTCTGTATGTGTCTCTTTTCAGACCCAGAGATTGGAGCTGCTGTTCTCTTCATCAAAGCAGAAGAGACCAAACAGCAGATAAACAAACTCAACAGTGAGGTATGGAACTCTTTGTTGGCCATGCTGGAGCAGTAAGAGGAAATATAAATCCTAGTTAGCAGCAGAAGCAGTATAAGATAGCAGTTATAAATATGTGCTCCTGTGTTAACCCTTCATGGTGAATCTCTACTTAGATCCATATGAGCCCTGTGACCTTTGACAAGTCCCTTACCCTTTCTCAAGCTCCATTTTCTCATGTGTAAGAAGAGGAAAATAATAGTGCTACCTTTTGATCCATTGTGAAATTAAATGAAGCAATCTGAGTAAATCATTTAGCATAAAATAAGCATTAAAATACATGACAACTATTATAATTGCTGTAAATATAGTATTTAATTGCAATTGCAATTTTTTGTGTCTACTTTTAATGAGTTAAAGCAAGATCATTATGTCATGAGCAGTTATTATCGACTCAGTCTCAGGTACAGTTAGATTCAAATCTATTTTATTAATGCTCATCATACTTCAGACACACATCTTAATTCTAAGTCCTGAGTCTACACCCAAAGGTCCCAGACGCTCATCTATATCTTAAGTCCCTGTCACTGTAACTTGATTGGGGCCAGAGGAGTCGGGTGCAGGGGGGACAACAGCGATAGAGATCTCAGTCTCTCTATTCGGGTCTGGTTAGTCCTGTCACCCCCCAGAAGTCTGGGCTTTTAAGTCCTAGTTCAGTTGTGCTTACAGCTGATAAATGGTTGAGGTCTGGGATGTATGCTCCAGGTGTAGACTGTTACAACTCTTAAATCTCTAACTTCAGTGTAAGTTCTGCAGTTGAAGTTTTGCAGTTCACATTACATCATGGGTGCATTGCTTATAGTCTTTTATCCAACACACACACACACACACACACACACACACACCCATACACACACACACACACACACTAATTAATATAATCAACAGTCAATAATCTTATAATATTTCTGGTACTCATATCACATTAGCTCACAGGAGAATGCTTATACCACCAATTATCGGTGATGAGTTCTGCTTCCTCAAATATTGAAGTCTGAACATAGAGAAGTGCCAAGGCAAGCATAGAAAGCAGGTTTTATTTAACACAGGTAGTAACACAGACTTCTCCCCAGAGGAAGAAGGGAGCCATAGCTGGTATTCTGATATCCCAGATAGTGACAGCATCCTGCCCCTTTTATACATTTTAGACTTTCTTTGTTCTCCTGCCCTCTTCCCCCTTATCTTTAACCTTCCTGCCTACCTGACTAGGCCCAAGAGATGCCAGTCGTATGGCCAAAAGGTGAGAAGCAGATTGGCAGGGGGAAGAGCCAAATGGAGTGATCCAGGCAGGAAGCAGGCCAGGAGGCATTAATTAACAACTCCCTGTCTGCAATCTTTTGGGAGGGATAGTATAGGCAGGTAACCTCAGTAATCAAGGTGCTTAGCAGACATTAACATTCCAGTCTCCCAGGGTGGTCTCCATCTTCCTGGACCCACATGGGCCTCCATTTTCTCCATCCCACCCAATCACCTATCTACATTAATCCTCTGTCTTTAATTTTGGCTTCACTACTTCGAAGATCAATCACATGATCTAAATTCTGTTCTTATCTCTGACAGGTATTTGCTGTGTAACCTTGAGCACTTTAACTCTCTGGATCACTGTCTATCCATGTAAAATCAAGTAATTGTTTAAGCAACTTTATTAAAGTATATGTATATATCAGAAGATTCACTCATTTTCAGTTATAATTCAATTATTTTTAGCAACTTATATTGAGTGATTTAACCATCACTCTAAGTCAGTTGTAGAATATGTCATCTCTCTCCAATAATCTCTCTCAAACAAATTGATATTTAATCCCTATTCCCATGTCCAGTCCTAGATGGCCATTTAAATGGTTTCTATTTTGATTAATTTTTTTTCCCTTTCCGCCCCATCTTATATATAGAAAGAAACAGGATGTTCCTTGATTATTGCCTTCATTTGAATTTCTTCCCCCAACCGATAAACTAAAACAAATTCTGAGACACTTTGGATGCAAGGAACTATTTGAGAGGCGATCTAGGAAGTGTAGTAGAAAAACAGAAGACAGAAAATATTTTGAAGGCAAAATACGAGGTTCTGTTAATGAGATAGTTAAACTGTAGACGATGGGGACCCAATCCTTCTGGGGACCTCTGAGAGATTGTAGGACAACTCAAAAATTGTTCCACAAAGAAGCAGAGTTATGTAGTCCTCACTGCAGAGGAGACTAGAAAAATTCCTCAGGAGGAAGATGCAGAAGCACCTTCAGGGGGACCTTGGAAAGGACATGTGGGCACGTACAGTGTAATAGAATTCCCCTTCAAAGGCTAAAGCTGTATGAAGAAATCTTGGGGGAAAATGGAACCATGTGATGGTCTAGATGAGATTTTTAAAAACTGAAATTCATATTATGACAATTAACTTCCAATTATCTGTATTAATGGAAGACTTGGTAGCTTATTATAAAATCCTAAGTTTTCTTTTAAACCTGTATTTCTTCAGCATAATGAAGATTTATGTTTAGCTGCCATCTCTGCTCCCACACTTAATGTCTCTGGAAGTGAGATTGTTGCTAACAAGAAATAAGAAAGCCAAAGGGCAGACTAACAAGACAGAAAGGCAAACTTGGAGATCCGCTAACTGGACTGAAAGTTCTCAAAGCATAAGGACTTGGCCAGACACTGTTTCACCCAAACAACCTCTCATTAGAAATACGTCAAAAACAAAAGAAAGCAAACTGACCAACGTGCTGGAGAACTGTACATTAACTTTCTATTGAACAGTTTCTCACAGATATTGTTCCCAGCTGAAACCCATCCATTAATATCTGAATCCTTTCCTCTCACAAATAAGAGCATTTTATGTTTTTATCAGTTAATTAACCTATTTCTGAGCTCAAAAATCAGCATTAGTGATTCTTCCGGAGGGAAATGCTCATATCTTCACCTCTTAATGTAGATAATTGTTCTAAGTTAGATCTACAGATCTATACACTGTATTATTTTCCTTTGACAACATAGATCATTGGTAGATCTGACAAAACAGATAACCTACTGAAAATATTTCCACAGTGTGATTATGTAGTCATGATTGCTTTTCTAGTGAGATGACATAAATATTTTTATCCTGTCATACACAGAAATAAAAAGGTCAAGATAAAATACCAATGGTCCAGTTATCCTTCCATAAAGAATTAATTTCTCTTTCAAGTGAAATATCTAATTTCCTCATGTTTGAAACATAACCAGAAAAATCTTATCCGTTGCACATAATGTTTACAATCTTGATCCTTTGAGTAGTACAAAATGAAAGTACAACTTGGCTTCAAACTATAAAAGTACCCCTCTCCTAACCTGCTGTTTGTGTTTTCCTTACAATTTTGTTTATGTAGAAAAAAAATTTTAGGTCCAAGCCTCATTTTCCATTTTGCCTATTTCCTAGTACTCATAAGTGTGATAAGTAGATTGCTCTATTTAATTGTTTATTCTATTCATTGGTTAGTATCAAGCAAGAAAATGTAGGGGATGCACTGCATGAAAATAACTCTACCACCAAAAGGGCAACCCCAATATAATATATGTGGGGCATTGGGTGAGGTCTGAGAGCACTGCAGAATTCCTATTCCGATGTTTGTTCTCCAATTTAAGGTAAAAAGAAGTTTCTCTGATGTATAGATTTCATCATCATAATTGCATAGCAAACATAGAACAGGAACAATATTGGTCAAAAACCTACATTCACAGAACAGTAAAGAGCGTTTAAAAGATGTAGGGCAGCAACTAATATTAGCATGCTTTGGACAGCATTGTTCTTGCTTTACAGTGGAGTAAGAGTGTGACTCGGAGGAAATTCTTTGAAAATAACAACAAAAAGTCACTGTGGGAGTGATGGGTTGTATAAATCAAATGCTCCATTTCTGAAAAGGTTTGTAGGTAAGGGTTAGAATGTGCTCTCATTTCTGAAATCTGGCCGACCCAGAAAGACATTGTGGCAACATCTACCAAGGGAAACTGCTCTGGCACAGCAGGCATAAGGTACAAAACATACTTTGGAGGGGAAAAAAAGAGAGAGAGACATCATTTTGGAGGGAGACAGATGTGTAGATCTTTATTCTGTGACTTTGACAGGTGTTTGCCTTTCCTAAGTTTATATTTTTCTACTGTTAACTGGTAATAAAACCTGCAGTAGGGTGGATGGGGTGGCACACACCTGTAATCTTAGCAACTTAGAACATTTGAGGGAATATGATCATCTTAATCATAATGTCTTCTGATTCATGAACATGGGAATTTTTTTTCTCATTTGTTCAGATCTTTTTAATTTCTTCCAGAAGTATTTTGTAATTTTTAGTGCACAACTTTACAGCTCTTTGTTTAAATTTATTCCTTAATATTCTAGAATTTTTGATGTTATTGTAAATGGAAATGTATTCTTAATTTCATTTTTGGATAATGCTCATTGGTGGCATACAGAGATATAATTGATTAGGGAATGATCAGCTTGTATCCAGTGGTTTCATTAGGACTTTTGTTTATAAAATGCTGTCACCTGAAAACAGAGATGGTTTCTTCCCAATTTTATTGCCTTTTCCTATCTAATTGCTTTGGTTAAACTATCAGTACAATGCTGTACAGAAATGAAGAGACATTCTTTCTTGTTCCTTATCTTAGATAGCAATCTTTCAATCTTCACCATTGAATATGATATTAGCTGTTAGATTTTCATAAATGACATCAAGTTGAAGAAATTTACTTGTACTCCTAGTTCATTGACTTATGAAATTTTGTCAAGTTGCTCTTTCTGTATCTGTTGAGATGATAATGTGGCTTTTGTACCTTAGAGATATGGTTTATTCACATTAATTGCCTTTTGAAGGATAGATCAGCCTGAGATAAATCCCACTGGTCATTATATATAATCTTTTTATATATTACATGTAATCTTTGTATATGACTGCATTCTATTAGTATTCTGTTGAATACTTTTTCATGTATGCTTATGAAAGACATCTGTC